CAACCACTAGCCTGAGGTCTTTAACGTGCACCACGCAGTAGTGATACACGACCGCACGCCGGTACGATGCTCATCCAGATCGAAACGGGCAGGGGTATATAGGGATTGAGCCCTGGGGGGCTATGTTGCGCTTTTTGCACTCCCAGGAGACTAGGGAGAAGGAAGTGACGTCAACGACACAGCAAACGCAGATTGGGTGTTGATTTCTTTTTCTTCTGTCAACATCCAATCTGCGTTTGCTGTGTCGTTGACGTCACTTCCATCTTCCAAGTCTCCTGGGAGTCCAAAAAGCGCAACATAGCACCCCAGGATTCCTGGGTACTGCAGCGCGAGCTTTCGCTCCACGTGCTCCGAGCTGGTGTGCGCCCACTCGGCCACCGATCCCCCGGTTTAATAATTGGGTTGTGTGTGTGTTTATACAGCCTAGAACTTGGTCTGCCTCACAGGGGCGACGAGTCTCCCAGCTGTAAATGTGCAAGCCTTTTGCTGCGGTTTGCAGCGTGCACATTTTCTACCCGTTCGTCGTCATTCGCCCAAGAATTTTTTTAAGACTCTGTGTACCGTTGAGACTTGCCATTTTGAACACGTGTAAAATTTTACGAATTCAGAGTGTCGCAGGAAAAAGGCACATCTCGTCGAAAGCAAGTTTCGCCCGTCTCGCGGCGGGTTCAAAACTTCTTTGGCACGCCGAAGTGCTATCTCTCTGTGTCTTCGCACGCTTGGATACCGACCAAGAATCGAAGCCGGGAGGATGTGTTTTGCGAGTGCAATGTGCATGAAGCCGTATGTGCCTCTGGATCAGCGTCTTACTTTACTTTGACGACTGTATACTTGCGGCCCTCGCGGTCCAGAAACGAGCTTAATCCAACGTTCACTAGCGACGGAAGAGGGGGGTAAAGTACATCTTTTTTTTTTGTCCTTAGACGATTTACAAAATACCGCGCACAATAGCTCCTCATCACTGCTCAGTGCTGGCTCATTATCAACTTACTTAATTGCACTTGACGTTTGAGTGCGGCTCGCCTAATTGTAATTGGTCAACAGACTGCACACGACCACATCGGCCGCGCTTCAAGGATTTTTATTCTCGCCGTCTTGTACTTTTGCCTTCGAAAACCCTCCTTGCTCCACAGCGTTGCTCTATTCGTGCTCCCACGTAATCCATTAGAGTGGATTTGGAACATAGTCATGGTTATAGGTACATAAGAGCACGTACAGATCATTCACGCCCCCCCCCCCCTTTTATTGATAGCAACTCGCCGAAACAGCTGGACGATCCAGAACTCCGTGGCCGATATATATATATATATATATATATATATATATATATATGATCTAAAGACGTCTACGCGCGACACACCTTCAGAACTTTGGTGCGGCGTCAATTCTTGATCGGTAACCAAGCGTGCGAAGGCACAGAGACGCAGTAGTTCGGCGTTCCAAGGAAGCTTTGACCCCGCCGCGAGACTGGCGAAACGTGCTTTCGACGAGTTGTGCCTTTTTCTTGTGCTTTCGTAAAATTTTCCACGTGTTCAGAACGTCAAGTCTCAACGGTACACAGAGCTTTCTTCGGCGAATAACGACAAACGAGTGGAAAAAGGGTCTACAGCTCGCTGCAAAACCACAGCGAGACACTAGCAAAACTGCGAATCGCGTCCCGGCAAGATGGCCGTCCGGTGTCTTCACTTGCGGGAGCGGGAAGCGCGATCCAGCAATTGTCATTGAGATCAGTGGCAGAAGCAGAGAGAGCTGACGGTGTTGTGGACCTCGGATAGATGGCGCCAATAAAAGTCCGTATAATAAAAGTTTCGTCGATGATACCAGGTTTGTGACGCATTTATTTTGATGTTGGAGAGGCAAGATTTACAGAAAAGTTACCTTTCATCGAGATGGTATTCGCACAACTTGCTATCTTTCTACAAGACTTCCATTCACGTCATGCCGCGTGGTTCTCATGTCCGCCGCTCGCGGCTCTAGGTCGGGGAATATTCTAATTTTCGCCTCGCGATTACGTGGCGGAATCGCAAACTTTTGAAGGAAGGAGGTGTGTTTTCTGTCCTTTGTGACTAAATAAACAATGTCAAAAAAGTAGGACATGCCAATTCTTTCAACGTTGAAATCGTTGCAGAGCACCTTTAATATCGGGGTTCGAAGTTTTTTTTTGTTAGACAAAGCAGAATTAGGCTAAGCATGGCTATCCCAGTTCTAAAGAAACGCAGGTCGGGCTTGGTTTTTTTATTCACATTAAAAATAGCGCAAAAAAAGACGGGACAAAAAGACGAAGAAGCACACAGGACAAGCGTGCTTCTTCAAATTTTTCTCCCGTCTTTATTGCGCTATTTTTAATATGAGTGTCCAGTACCAACTTGCCCAGCAGACCGAGCTTTTACAATTCGTTTGTTAACCGCGGGTACTGACCCCTTTCCCATAGAAGAATGGATAGTTGGGCGCGTTTTTGGGGAATTCATCTTGGGATACAGCGCGAACAACAGAAATGAACGAAGAAGAAACACACAGGACGAGCGCTGACTATCAACTGAAACATTTAATAGGAAAACACATAAAAACGACCATTCATATATATACTTTGCAGTTCACCCCCCGTCTGCGTATTACGAGGCACTTTCATAGCGGCGTGATGGCACGTGTTGCTATCCCAAATTCAAAAACGCCACCTCACTCTCCAGCTGTGCCAAAGACGGTTGGCTGACACACGAGGTTCAGGCCCTTTTTATTTGGTACGCTTCTACTATTTCTCTAGACACTTGATCCCTGTGTCTGAACAAAACTTCAGTGTCACTGAATCTCGGCTCACAGTTACAATCCCGACAGTGCAGTGCAAGATGAGAGAATGCACACCCCCTCAACGAACTCAGGTGTTCTTTTAAACGTGTGTTCAAACAACGCCCCGTTTGGCCAATATACCTGCCCACATTAAAAAGGTATCGGAAAAGGGCACCTGACTCCACGCATTGTCTGGGTACTGTGGGATTTGCGGCCCATCATCGGGCAAAAGAACCTGTGCTCCGCGCCCCGCGCGCAACGTGCGCGCGAGCCACGCTCGAGGCTCGGGGGGCTCGGCAGTCGGTTGGCTGCCGCCAGCCAGTAAAGGTGCGTTCTATGAGATCTGCCTCGTTGGTCCTTCTTGCGGGTGAGCAGTAGCACCGAACCATACATTATTTGGCGCTCCACGCGGGGCCTACTGCTCCCCCCCCCCCCCTATTGGAAAAACGTACAAGAAACAAACCTGCCGCTTTTACTATTCTGGTATGACACCACCATAATTTCTTAGTATTATGTATGCAGCTAGTTTGGTTTGGCGTTCTGCATAACTGGAGATACCGGCACCGCTATGGCTCCGGGTCTGTCTATACTGGCAGCCAGTTTGCTTGCCGATATGATTCCGTGTGGCTGGTATGATTTTGCGTCCGATGACGTAGGCGACCGCCTTCTTTCCAACAAAACGCTTACACCACAGGACCACCGTTATAACTAAATCATACATGCAGAAAAACGACCGCCATTTTCCAACAAAAACGTCCATCGTTCACCACCGGTATCGTACATACACCATGTACGTCGAAAAAGAACATAAGCCGCGTTTACATGAATGCGACTGAGTCGCATTGAATCCAGTTGCCGCATTCAATATATGGTCATGTAAACGGCATAATGCACAAAGCGCATCGCATTTTGGAACGGGAAGGATAATCGCAAGGCGCTCGCTGCGGGAGCGAGTGAACAGCTGAGAACATGGCGGCGGCCAACCTCGTCGGCGGCACGGAGAGCGGTCCCGCAATTTTTTTTTCCCGAGAACAAACGCAAGCTTTTGTTGCGATCATAAGTAAGCGGAATATAGCGGAGCTGCTCGGTGAGGGCGGCCCCGTCCAAACCTTTGCGAAGTACGTACGACTTGCGCTTCCGAAGGGGTCACAATGACTTCAGTGCAAGCACGAATGACACCGAGAGCTCCAAGCACTGTAGAGCACTGCATGGTAGCGCAGAACGAGCAGCTCCTACTTCGGTGCCGTTCCTGGCTGCGCAAGAGCCTCTCGGACTCGGGGTCCGGTTGGTCCGGTCGCGATCGGCGAGGTCTGGCGCGGCGAAACGCGGAGGCTTCCTCAAAACGTGCGCACACACGTCGCCTCTCGTTCAGAGTGAACCGGCGGCCCGGCCTGGAGTCCTAAACGCCTTGGCTTTGATGCTTCTTCCGTCTCGCAACTTCTTCCACAGCACCGAAGACAGCGGACACGATCTTTACTTTCACTGAATGCGTCGAAAGGACTCCACGTGCGATGCACCGGAAAACGTGGTGCGGCTGGTGCCGGAACGGAACTGCGGAACTTCGAGCTTTGAGTTAACGTGCACGGCAAGAAACCGATCGTAACACCAAGCCGCGGATACCGCATCGCCGGTCGACAGCGGCAAACGACCCGTTGCTCGTACTCGGCAAATTCGGCGTCTTTTCGTGGCCCCTCGCGTCCTCGCAACCAGCCACAAACTCACCAGCCCGCAACCGTAGCGAGCGTAGCCGGCGTTGGAGAAAACCGAAACCGAAACTTAAGGCTTCCGCCCAGTGGCTTCGGTGCTTCCGCTGCCGCGGCTTTTCTAACCAACCGGCGGTCTCTTCGAGCGTCTTCCGGTCAGCTATTTGAGCGCCATCTCTTATCCGTTGGTAATTGCTTAAGGACTTCCGGTTTTTATCAAACAATCCCTTTAATGGAATGAAACATATGTTGTTGGTGCTGTTTACAAATTTACAAAATTACTACGCTAATATAAAACAAGCATCGTCGTCAATAAAAGTTTGTTTTCTCATTGGTCGGTTTTGTTTTTGTATTTTGACGGTTGAGAACGGGCGCGCGGCGCGCTTGCGCAATCGGCGCGCCGGGGTGTCGGCTGCTCGAGCGAGCGCGTCGGTTCGCGGCGCGTACTTTCGTTTCAGGCAGCGGGCGCTTCGGCGTTTGCCTGTTGTTTCTTAATCAATTTCGTTTGCCAGTATGCCGAAAACACGTCACCATGCCTATTGCTCGGCACGGTGGTGCTCCAATTCTGGTGCCAAGGGCTCTGTCAAGTTTTTTCGGCTCCCTAAAGACGAAAGGTAATTATTGGGACTGCTTCCTTCTTTTAGACCCTTACGCAGTTTCAGATTCCCTAAACTTTAGGAGAGTTATAGAATGCATTAACGTTAAATTGATGAGCGCTATCGAAGGGGATCAGTGGTCCGGTGTGTTAGCGCAGTGCAATTTGAATCACGTATAAGGAAAGCATACGCTGCAGGACCCAGGGATACTGGGGTCAGTCCCCGCTCCTGCCCGTGTCGATCTGAATGAGGAACACACCAGCGTGATGTCGTGTATCCTAATTTTTTACATCACAGTACCCTCTGTCTATGCATATATCGGTTTTCACCTTGCAATTGTACTCTTGCACGCGCATTTTTTTTCCTTTCAGTGCTGTCGTTTTGCGTGATTTGTTTTAGAGACAGCTGGGCGTTTTTATCTACCAATATGTGCGTCTTTAATGCCATACCTTCACACTTTTCCAGATGCGACAAATGGCTGGCATACGCAAACCGGGAGGACTTGGCGGGGCTGTCAAGGGAGCAGCTGAACAAGAGCCACCGGCTCTGCTCGGAGCACTTCACCGACGAAGCCTACGCTGACCCCCAAAAAACAAAACTCTTGCGAGAAGCGCTTCCGTCCGTAAAGGTGACCGACGAGAGGTTCCGTTTCTTGGCGAGTGAAGGTAATTCCATCATTCTGGGTACTCTCGTTAACTAAGAATAACATTCTGTGCTAACGTAGTTACTTATTTACACCCCGTTTATAGACTGTAATTTTTCCAATAATGATGATAGGCTTTTTCTTAAATGGGCTGTGCCACACTATTGGATGGGGTCCCATAATTTCATTGCATTTATTGCATGTCTTGTTATTTGCCAACCCCATAACGATTTGCGGTAAATATCCGGCTATACATTATGTGGCTTGTTTTGACTTTGGGCCAGTGGCATATCCATGGGGGAGGCTTATAGGGCGGTAGATCCCCCCCCCCACACACACACACATACACACCCTAAATCCAGTCTACCCTATGATATACACATGCAGTTTGACCCCCTTTCCCACCCACCCCCCTCTGCACCCAAATTCATGGACATCCCAGCACAGATTCCCTAAACACCCCCCCCCCCCGGCCCCCCCCCAAAAAAAAAAAATGCTGGCTACGTTATTGCTTTGAGTTGAGGTAGTGAACTCTTCATATTTTCATATTATCTTTTGCAACTTATTGCGTGTAAAAAACAAGACCAAAAAATGTAATGCATATTTTATATAGGTCAAATATCAAGGAATAATTCCAGGTAGCATTTACTGACAGTACAAAAATTGTTACATTGCCCAGGCCCTCAAGTTAATGATCAAAAATTTTCTTTTTCTAATCAGCTGCTTAAAACTTGAGCGTTGCTTTTGTTTATTTTATCTACCCATTACTAATATCACACTGCTGTTTGTTTACTTCAGAGGCCTTGCAAGTAGACGACAATGACTCTGGGGACCTTGGAGGATGTGCTCAAGAGGCAGGATCTGCTAGCCCCACCGACCTTGACACTGATGCCCCTTTGGAGGCTATGAGAGGCGCAGAGGGTCAAAACCAGCCTCAAGGTATGCACATAGTGAATTTTATTGCATTAATTATCAGCGTAATGAAACTGTTTCTAAAGCCCTCCGTTTTTGAACAGGCACCGGTGACACCCCTGCCCTTTCCAGTACACCTACAACCAGCATCCCACAAGGTGGAGAGCAGACCACTGGTTCTCCTTCAACGCCTCAGCCTGGACCCTCTGGTATGTCGTGTTTTTTATATAGTAACATTTGCCTAGCAAAAGTGGTTATCTCTGAAGAAATAGAAACTCCACGCCCTTGCTGTGCGATTGAGTGCTTGGACCACGCGTCAGTTCCTTCTTATTTCTCTGTCTTAGTTTTGTATGGATTAATGTAATGCAATGCTATGGTGACAGATATCGAACTTGCTCTTTTTTTCGGTTACGTTTTTGAGAGAAGCAGTATGCGCCAGTGGACAATCATGTTTGAATTATCGGTTAAATTTTTCATAAGCCCAATTAACATTTTTTTTTATTTTAACTACTTACAAATTTGCTCGGACCAGAATCTTAGTTGAAATTAACTGGAAGTGTGATTTAAGAAAATTTGCATGATGGTGATTCCACTGTATGTAAATGATTTTTAGTAAATATTCTAATCTACTTGCCATTGTTCTTATTTGATGGAATATCTCTAGTATTTGTTACCACATGTATGGTATAAACGTGTGGTCTGCATTAATCTATGCAGGTTCTTGCCCTCTCCGTCGCGGGAGGAAAAGAAAGCTCTTCACGCCGCAGACAGCGACAATTGTTTCAAAATGGAAGGGTGACGCCCAAAAGTACCGGAAGGTATTGTCGAGGACCCGAAAGCAAGAGAGGACCCGAAAGCCCACCAAAAAGGCTGCACTGCAGACGTTGCGGTCAATTGTGAGCGCTGAGTTCTACACGCTTTTGGAGGGTCAGGTTCTGATCCAGGGTCGCAAGAAGAAGGGAAGGAGGTGGCCACAGGAACTGAGGGAATTTGCCTTGAGCATGTATTTTCATGGTCCCAAGGCATATCGGTTCCTGTCCAAAGTGCTGGCTTTGCCGACTCCGAGGTCCCTTCGAAGGTGGTTGTCTGAGGTGCCAATGACACCTGGAATTATTTCTGGAGTGTTTGATGTCCTCAAAGACACTGTTAAAGATTGGCCATTAGAAGATCGGGCATGCATTATTATGTTTGATGAGATGTCTCTGCGACCAAATTTGCAGTATGACAAAGGAAATGATGTGGTCATTGGTTTCTCAGACGACGGCTTAGAGAGGACAACGGAGGTGGCAAACACAGCCTTTGTTGCCCTCCTTTCTGGAATCTCAAAGCCCTGGGTGCAGCCCTTGGCGTTCGCAGTGGCAAAAACGACACTGCGAGCTGAAAAGATGAGGGAATTGCTGCAGACCTTAATCAGACAGCTGAATGAGATTCAGCTGTATGTGAAAGCGGTAGTGTGTGATCAGGGCTCAAGTAATGTCAAATTATCAGAGCAACTGGAAGTGACTCAGGAAGAGCCATTTTTTGAAGTTGATGGGCACAAGGTGTATTTCTTCTTTGACACTCCGCACTTAATAAAGTGCACGAGAAATAACCTGCGTGCCCCTCACAAGCTTTTCATTGGCAAAGAAGCACATCCTGAAATTGTAGATTGGCAATACATTCGTGATTTATATGAATCCTCTAATCCCCTCAGACAGAGGTTGGCAAGGAAATTGACAGATGACCACATTTATAAGAGGCCCTTCAACAGCATGAAGGTAAGGTTTGCCACACAGGTCTTGAGCGACACTGTGTCACTGGCAATGCTATTCATGATTTCGATTGGGGCACTGCCTGGGACTGCCAAATCTACAGCAGACTTCATAGAAAGAATGGATAAACTGTTTGACTGCCTCAACAGCAACAGCTCCACTGCTGTGAATGGCAAAATGAACTATGCTATAAGTGCCAATTCTGAGCACTTGGAATTTTTGCAAGAGGCAGTCAAATGGATTGCAAGCTGGAGATTTGACAGCCCCAGACAGCCGCACACGATTCGTGGATGGCTTGTCACCATCAGGGCTGTCCTCATGCTGTGGGAGGACCTCTCCCAAAATTTTAACTTCACTTGCCTCCTGACACGCCACCTGCAGCAAGACCCTCTTGAGAATCTTTTCGGGTCTTTGAGAATGAAGCATGGCTCCAATGAACATCCTAATGTGCTGCAGTTCATTGCTGCACTGAAGCACGTTTCTGTTGGGAAACTGTTCACTCTGACGTCTCGCGGGAACTGCGAAGTGCATGACTCGTACATGCTAGCACGCCTGTCGCAGGGTGACCCTGCGCAGGCACTAGACATTCAGGAAGTAGATGTTCCAACTGGTGAGATGTCGGGTGAAGACCTCCCAGACATCACGGAGGAGAACGTGCTGTACTGCTTTGCAGGGAACCTCGTGCAGCAATTCCTCAAGAGCCGCCCTACAGACTGTGCCTGTGAGCGACTTTTGAAGGAACGGGGTAGTGCGTTCACAGGGTCCCATCAGACTTTAGCCATGCTTCAGGCTCATGGAAAGCCAGGGGGGCTCTTTGCTGACCTGACCCCTTCCTCTGCAGGGTTTTTTGAGGCCGTCAAGAGATGGAAAAATGTTTTCTAGAACATGTCGGAATTGTAGCACACATGCGGGGTGTAGGCAGTGTGCTTCAAGAAAAACTGGAGTGTAGCCTACCTACAAACTTGTTTTTGCACAGAAGGCTGCCGCAAAGAATTGCTGATTCTGTTCTGCCAAACCCGTCTAATCTGGCACATTAGGGATGTAAACAAAGTACTGAGAAAACCACGCGACAGAAAATCCAGCATGAGGAGAAAGATGGGAAAGCTCCAGAATTAGGCTTCCACTTCCGGTCGTCGCGGAGATGGCGAACAATGGCGAAGGTAGCGCGATGTGGTTCGTTGGCCCGTTTACGGTTACGGGACAGATGTTTTGCGGTCCGTTTCTACTGCGTCTCTGGTTCTAAACTCGACGGCGCCTCTCATAGTTCAACCAGGTGTGGTCGGCCTGGGTCAGCGCGGTCGGCTCGCCTCGTCCGATCTCCGGACCGCCGGCGACTTCCGAGTTCTTTAGGCCTGGGATCCGAAGGCGTCTGTCTCCGTGAAACGGTAAGCGAATCTCGTCCCGTTTTCGTTCTACTTTTAAATTACGTTTGGTGCGCTACAGTGTAAGCATGCGTGCCAAGTGTTCGTGACAATTTTGAACTAGAATAATTGTGCTTCATTGCGGTTTGTCATTTACCGCAAATGTAAATCGAGCAATGAACGAGGAGTAAATCGAGCAATGGACGAGGAGCCATGCTTGAAAACGATGTATGTACGATGTTAACTTCTACCTGTGCGGCTTTAAAGAAAGTCAAGACTGGTTACGGTTGGATGCGAGGCTGGTCCCAATGCAATGTTAAGCACTTAGAGCGCCTTTCTGAACGGCACGTAAGCAATGTAGCGATCAACGAGACGAGCGACGGCGAGAAGCTACGAGTGCCGGCGCCGAGCGACGAAAGTTTCTCACTCCCGCTGCTTGCGCCGCTCGGTTCTTGGGCTTCTAGAAAACGTCGCTCATCGCCTTGGTCGCTCGCACCAATCGCTTTCATAATTTGTGTATCGTCGCGCGGCCGTGTTTATTCGAATATAAGTCGACCTTTTTTTTTCTTTTTTGGAAATTAAAGAATTCGGAAATTAAAGAATTTCGACACCTGCATTCGCGACCAAATTTTGCAACCCTACCGGAAGCATGAAGCTATCGAGTCACCGAGCCGGCGTTGCCGTAGAGCCGCGCCGCTTCTTGTTTCAAAAAGCTTTTGGTAACCGAAATGGCTCGCCGCCCGCGGTGGCCCGTGCCGCTCCTCGGGCGTCGGATTTCGACATCACGCCTCTAGCGTTCCCCTTGCTGGGCAACAGGGTAGGAGAGAGAGAGAGAGAGAATAAACATTTATTGTGGTCCTTATTAGTCCAGGACGTCATCTATAAACTCACGGCATTTTACTATATGTTTAACAAGCAAACTCCAGAGTAGAGTGCTGTGTGCGGGTGGGGGAGCGATCCATTCTTCCCAGCTGCTCGGGTGAAGTGTTTTCGGCATTGTTTTGAGGGTCTCTTGTAGTGCTTGTTGGTTGTGAGGGCAGTCCCAAAGGATATGTTTATTATTAGGGTATCTGTGGCACTTTGCGCACTTTGGTTGACCTTCGCGTCCCAACAAATGATGCGTTATGTGCGGTGTGAGGAGGGTGCCAGTCTGGGCTCTTCGTACCAATGTAGAGTGCAGTCGAGTCAGAAATTGTGAGGGGGATGGGAGGGTGGTCCTGTTTTCTCTCCATTCCAACAGTGTGTTGGTTCTGTTGGTGTGAAGTGTCTTCCTGTGTATGTAAGGGTCGTATGTTTGTGGCCATGGAGTGGAAGGTCCCGGTTCAGTAATAGCTTCACGGGCGAGCTGGTGGGCCAGCTCGTTGCCTTCGATTCCTGTGTGGCCTGGAACCCATTCCAAAGTGACTCGGAGGTCTGGGTGGTCTTTCATGATCTTGGAGAGGTTGGTCTTTATATGAGGTGGTAGGTTGTTTTCTCTGAATGTTCTCAGGGCGCCCTGACTGTCAGAGCGGATTGTGATGTTTTGTAGCTGGGCGTTTTCTTGAATGGCCTCCGCGATGGCTTGCACTTCCAAGCTAGTGGGTGATGGGGCCTCGCGGTGTTTTCGTTTTGTTGTCTTCGTAGGGCCGGCTGTGGCCGTCGCACCTTCTTGAGTGTGGTGTAAGTAGACGGCATCGGTGTAGATGCAGTTGGTGGGTTCTGGTCGTTTTGAGAGCATATGTACCCTCTCTTGTCTTCGTTCTTGGTGGCGCTCCGGGTCCATGTTTTTGGGAATGGGTCTTACCATGATGTTTGGTATGGTGTCCCATGGGGGCGGTTTCGGTGGGATAGGGGGGAGTGAGGTGATGTCATATCCCAGTGCCTGAAGGATTTTTCTGCCGTGCTGAGATGTTTGGAGCCTTTGTATCTGCCCAATTTTGTGGATTTCCGTCTTTTCTTCTAGCGTGTTCATTAGTCCTGTGGCTTGTAGAAGGTGAAGGGGGGTGAATTTTGGAACGCCTAAGGCGATCCTGATGGCCTTACGTATGCTTATTTCGATTTTCGAAAGTTGCGTTTTAGTGAGGGAGTAGTATGGGAGTCCATACATTACTCGGGAAATAATGAAGGCTTCTATGATTTTCTTGATTTCGTGCTCTTTTAGTCCGTGCCTTTTTCGGGTGACTCTGCTGATCATATGTGTAATCTGGTGTATCTGCACTAGGGTTTTGTGGACCCAGTCGTGGGCTTTGCCATTCTGGTCCAGCCAAAATCCTAATATTCTGATTTTTTTCCTTCTTGGGATGGCGTGTCCTGATAGATTCAGTTGGATGAGGTCGCGGGTTTTTTCTGCCTGCGGTTGGTTGGAGTTGAGGACCACGACATACTCGGTTTTCTCTGGGGCGCAGGACAGTTCCAATGTGTGGATGTAGTTATGGACAGCGTCTAGGCCCTCTTGTAATGTCTGTTCTTGTTGTGCTGGGGAGCCGCTGCAGCACCATAGTGTGATGTCATCCGCATATACTGCTGATTGGAGGTCCGTGATATCGTGAAGTTTGTGAGGTAGGTCCTTCATGGCAATATTGAAAAGCGTGGGTGATAGTATGGCGCCTTGTGGTACCCCGGTGGTAATTACTCTCTCTTCACTTTTATATTCTCCAATTTTGATCCGTATGGTGCGGTTGGAAAGAAAGCTTCTGATGTAGGCTTCTAATCGTTTGCCTGGGCTGATTTCAGCGATTTTGTCAAAAATGGCTTGGTGACTGACGTTGTCAAATGCTTTGCGGATATCTATGCCAATTATCGTGCGAGTTTGAGCTGTGCTTGGATAGTCGTAGACGTCTTGTTTGATTCGAAGCATTGTGTCTTGTGTGGACACGTGTCTACGGAATCCGGTCATGGTCTGGTGGAAGGTTCCCTGGTTGTGCAGGTGCCACTCCAGTCGTCGGAGGACCATCTTTTCCATAAGTTTTCCGACGCAACATGTGAGAGAGATGGGCCTTAGGTTCGTGATTTCGGTGGGTGTCTTGCCTGGTTTGGGTATGGGGATAACTTCAGCGGTCTTCCATTCATGAGGGATGTTGCCACTTTCCCAGGCTTGGTTAATCTGATTAAGGAGGGCATCGATGTAGTTCTTAGGCAAGTTCTTAAGCATCGTATACGTTATGCTATTTGGTCCGGGGGTGGTGTTTCGTTTGATGGAGTAGAGGGCTGTCAACAGCTCGTTTTTGCTAAAGGGGCTGTCTGATCCTTCCTGTGTTTCGGTTATTCGCGTGTCATCAGTGAGGGCGGTTTGACCTGGTCCCGGGCTGTATGGTGCAGAATAGGGGTAGAAGAGTGTGTGGAGTTTGGTCGCCAACTCTTCATTTGTGTAGCCCTGTTTAAGTTTTATCTTTTCTAATGAGTGTTTTGGCTTCTTTTTGTCGAGCAGTGCGTTCAGTATGTTCCAGACTCTGGCGGTGTGGAGTTGGCCGTTGAATCCATTACATAGTTCAATCCACTGGTCGTCGGCGATTTTCTGGGCGTAATTTTCAGCTTCCTCTGTGATCTTCTGAATGACCTTCTTGAGGTTCCGATTTGTTTTTTTCTTTTTCCATTTCTTAACCAGCTTGTGTCTGGTGTCCCATAGATTGAGTAAATGTCTATCTATGCTGGGTGACTCCTCTGTCTTGGTAGGTGTGGCAGTGTGTTTCTTGATGCTTTCTGCAATGTCCTTGACCCACGCGCTAAAGTTGTCGGGGGGTTCGTTCTTTTCCAAGTCACTTCGGACTTTCTCCCATTTGCTGATGGTCGCTTTGGGAAGGTTGTGTTTTGATTTGTCAGACTTCTTGCGATTGGTCGTGGGTTGGGCGACCTCAATTTGGAGAATGTAGTGGTCGCTACCTAGGGTTTCTTCGGTATTTGACCATGCTATGCCGGTGGGGTTGTTCGACCAGCAGAGGTCCGGGCTGGTGTCCTTCTCAACGCTGTTGCCGATTCTTGTAGTGGCAGTGACATCGTTGATGAGGTGAAATTTGTGTTGTGCTGTTTGATTGTGTAGTGTGTTGCCGTTGTGATTTGTATTCTCGTATCCCCAGAGTGGATGGTGACTATTGAAGTCACCTGCGATGATGACTCGATGACCTTTTGTTTTTTGAGCCAGGTCTCGGATCCACCGCGTTTTCGCGATCTTGGTATTTGGTCGCCAATATACGTTGAATAATGTAATTGGTTGGGATTGGTTTGGTGGCTGACATTCGATGCCTACTATTTCTTGGTTTTGATCGTTGAGGTGATCGGTGTTGATTTGGTTGGATGGAATTTGCTTCGCTACGTAGGTAGCTGTCGTTGTGATTGGGGCAATAGCTGTGTTGGGCGGTTGTAGCTTTTTGTTTTTCCTAGGTGTGACGCAGATGCTGGGTTGAGTGAACTTTTGGTAACCTGGGATGTTGAGGTCTCCGTTGGCTTCCTGTATGAGGATAATGTCGGGTTTGGGTTGTGTCTGTTGTATGCGAAGAGCGAGTTCGGCTTTTTTTCTTCGAAGGCCTCTACAGTTCCGTTGCCATA